GAGAGAGAGAGAGAGAGAGAGAGAGAGAGAGAGAGAGAGAGAGAGAGAGAGAGAGAGAGAGAGAGAGAGAGAGAGAGAGAGAGGCATGTGGCAGCATGTGCCAGGCGATTCTGCCACGTGTAAATTTGGAAGAAAAGTGTGGCACCACTTGTCATGTGGCACACGTGGCATCTCCTGGCGCGTGGACAAAATGTAACCATAGTATGCAACAACGAGAAGTGATTTTTTTTTTTTTTGGGGGGTGGTGGGGGAATAACGAGCAATGATCGATATGCAGTTCTTGACCGTCTTGTAGGAAAAAGAAAAAAAAAAAAGATGCGCGGAACAGCCACAAAGTATCGTGGGTAATAACCCTGGAGGCAACACTAAGATGGTCGTGACGACGTAGGTAAGTTTCTTCTTCTCCTCCACGCGGTCTTCCAGTTGCTGGCGCGTAGCATGGCAACGACCCACTGAGGTAGACCAGGTAAGTCAGCTCCTTCCTTCTCCTCTCTGCTAGCTCCTCCTTCCTTCTTCTTCTTCCCCGACTCTGGGAGTTGGTGCTGCTCTGATGTCGAGCAACACCTTGGCTTGCCCACGCTCAGCTTATTCTGGCCTTGATGGTGGCCAGATTATTTCAACTCGTGCTAGTATCTGGTGGCAATCATGCTCAGATTCAGTCTGTATATAAATGAACCACAAAAAAAAGCTTTTTCACAAAAAAAAGAGCATGACTGTGCCTGACTGTTTCGTTGAATTTTAACCGTTGTGTCACTTGTGTTTTTTTTTTTTTTTTTTTTTTTTGACAAAAACATCGCTGCCGGGCGTAGGAGGGATGCTGGACTTGTGTGTGTTTATTACGATACAATACTGCCGCGACCGTGCCACGGCATGTTGCGTTAAAAAGCATTGGTATGACAACACATGGATATGAGCCTGTAACTTGGTATGCCTATGAGACGAACGCACAAAAGTCATGTAAAGGCCAGAAAAGCAACAGACCACAAACCAAAAGCTCCAATCAAATAGCGGCGAGCCAAAGAGCAAAAAGGCAAAGGCAGCAATGCACGAAAGACAGTAAAGCAAAGGGCTGAAACCAACAAGGCATCAGACAAGCATCGGGCAGCAAGGGACAAACGGCTGGAGGGCATGACGGAGCTGGGCGGTCAGACAAACAACACAGCAGCAGAGCACGGAAGCAGCGAGGCAAAAGACGAAGGCTGGAGGGTACAGGGAGTCAGGTGGGCAGGCAAACGAACACAAGGCATCAAGCCACGGAAAACAACAGAAAAAAATGCATAGGGTGGAGGGTATACGGGAGAGAAGGTTTTAAACCACCAGTACTTGGCCCAGCTATCGGCCGCGGAAAAAAGAGAGTAGAAATGTTTCTAGTCGGATGAATTTGGGCGCTCCTGTAGTAGCCCGTACGTTTCCTAAAATCGTGGCGCGTTAACGGGCACGACTTTAGGAAGTACTGGTGGTTTAACCATACTTCACACCAATCTGTAGAGTGCACTTCTTACTAACTTATTGTAAAAAGAAAACCGAAAGAAAACAATTAAAAACATATAAAACAGCAAGCCAAAAGTGCACTTTCATGAGATTTCAGCAACATTTCTTTTTTTTTTTCCCTTTTTTTTTTCCTTTTTTTTTTTTTAATTTGTCAATTTTCGCAATTTTCACCACTACCCAACAAACACCAAACTTGGCACATACAGACCTTGACCAAAAACAAAACAGGGCAAAAAAAAAAAAAAAAAAAAACATGATCCCCACTGCACTTTTCAGGGTGGTGAAGGTTACCCTAGAGGTGAAAAGTGGGGGTACCTGTTAACCATTTGTGGTATAGGGAGGTGGGCGGGCAGACAAACAACAAAAAGCAGCAAGGCATGAAAGACGGTGAAGCAAGAGATATACACAGGCAAACAAACAACTCAAAGCCAAAAAGTAATACAAGAGAAGAACAGGAGGCAAAAAGAAATCAAGTTCCAAAACCAAAACTGAAAAAAATGAAAACTGATGATAACAACTATTAACAAGCTTGTTTCGTCGGAGTTTCACCGACTCATCAGGAGGCTGAACCCTCAACAATCTGCCGAATCTCTGTATTTGATGCTTTGGGTCATGAACCCTTTGATCCATGTTGAAGGCAGACTGTCCCCATTGCAAGCGGAACATAGCACCAGGCAGAAACGCTGCGGAGCACCAGGCAACGCAGTAGAGGCAACACGGCTGCACAATGCCAAAGACGACTGCACAGAGTGGCACGGCAAGCTCATAAACGGCATAGAAACCATGTAGTGAAGCACAAGGCCACACGAGCAAGGCAACTACACTGCAAGGGACGACAAGCAGGCCGACAACCGTGCAGTGAAGAAGAAGGCAACACCAACAAGGCAGCCAAACTACAAGGCACACAAGCAACAAACACGAAAGGCACGGCCATCAGATGAGTGGCAAGGCAGCAGAGCAGCAAAGCGCAAGGCAAAACCAGCAGCACGGCCACACCACACTGTGGACACAGCAATTTGAAGAGAACCACATGTGAAGCAAGCAGGACAGGCAGCAGGGCAGCGATGGAGCGCAGATGAGACAGTCCACACATCCAACACGGAGCAAAGTGGCACATGACCAACTCACATCACGACCTTACCCCACAGACTGTTGGTTCCCACCACCCACTGAGCCAGCGAATCACTCCGACGAGCATCCGCCATCACCCACAGGCAACACAGACATCCCGAACAGAACGCGGCCCCCCTAAGAGTGCATTAGGCATTCCAAACGAGGAACCACCGACTGTTTGGCACTACTTAAGGGTGCTCAGTTGGGGCCACAGAAAAATAAGACAAAATCAGAGGGAGGACACACAACAGGAGAAAAGACTGACAGACATAAAAGTTGATCAAACTGATTTTCTTTTTATGTTTTTTTTGGTTTTTTTTT